CACAAACAGCGATTTAGGAGGATTGACCTCTTTGGCCTCGCTGGTATATATGCCGCTTGTCCATGTTTTCATCATCTGACTGTCCGGCTGGGTGTCGCCCGGCGCGTCCATCATGTTGAAGCTGTGGTACATCTTGAATACGCTGTCCCCGTGTTTTATGTTGCCAGTGGTTGTGGGCGCGCTGTGGTGGGTGAGCAAGGCGGCGGGCTTGACATGTTTTGTGGTCGCGGCGCGTCGTGGGGAAAGAGCGCGGTTGAACGGGGAAAGCACGACGGGCAGGTGCAGAGAGACGCAACCCGTGTGCTGGGCCGAGGGCAAGGTCAAAGGAGCGTGGTTGCCTGAGTGCGGGCTCTCAGTCGATGTGGTGAAGCGGAATGGCTTGTCGCTGCAGGCCCGCTGCTTGAGAGCCTGGGAGAGTTGAGATGGGTCCTGGTGTGGCGTCAGTCAACTCGAGCGATCGGCGGCCGGGGTCAACACGCTATCCAGACGCGACGCAGAAGACGGATACTCACATCGTAGAAAAGATCCCCGAGCACCGTGGGAGCTTGCGAGTCCTCCATGGCGAAAGCTCATCTCTGAGTGCACTTCACAGCAAGGCGCAGATGCTCACTGTCTTTCGTGGTTACTGCAATTCAGCCGTGGCGGCTACGCGCCAATTAACGCGTGGTCCCGTGCCAGTCAGTGACATCTGGACCAAGCGTTGCGCTTCTCTCTTCGCCGCCTTGGGTTTGACAGGCGCATTGGTCCCCGGCTGTATTAAACTGCCATCTTCCATTGCTTACTGACACTGCGTGCCGTGCATTCCTTCTATTCGTCAAGATCTGTCGGTTGTCCAGATGACACTCCCTCGGCTTTCGACATGGTCGTATTCTCATGTCCTCAAATAGTTTGGTAGACTGCTGCCGTTCGCGCGCTCGTCTGGAGAAGAGCAATGCCGGTTCTCCACACGCTCAGTAAATCACCGCCACCTGGCTCAGTGCCTGGTCACGAATATGCGAAGAAAGAAATTGTCATTCATTTGACATGTGCTCTGTAGATGTTGCTCGTACTCTTGGTCATCCTCCAAGAAATACACTTCTAACCCTGCGTATCTCTCCTCCTGCAGTCCTTCCGTCTCCTCCTCTACTGTCTCGCTACTCTCCTTCATCGCCACCACCCAGACCGCTTCGTTTCTCTCTTCACCGCCCTACTGACTCCATCTGAGTGCGATCGCTTATCCGAGGAAAGTGTAGTAAAGACCCATGACGGCCGTCAATCCGACAGCGGTCCATCCGGTTCGGATGACTTGTTGGTTCTTGAATCCGATACCCACATCCCACGCCAAATGCCTCAGGCCATTGAAGCTGTGGAAGAAGAACGGGAAAGCAAAGAAGGCCTTCACTCCCATCTTCACAGCCGCGGGCCATGCAGCAACGGCCGCCACCATTGACTGTGTCTCGAGATGCCATCCAGTGTAGGGGGCAATCAGGTAAGCGATACCGAAGAGGTAGAGGGAGCCGGATAGGGTAATTCCCGTGATGCGGTTGAGCGACGAGGCGTACCAGGTGATTTGCGGCTTGTAGATAGCCAGGTGGGGGGAGACGGGGCGGTAGATGCGCTGCTTCGCGAGGATCTCGGCGGCTTCGGACTGCGAGGCGTGTTCAGTCGCTGCGAGTCTACGTTCTCCATTGTTAGCATCCGTGGGCGCATGAGTATAGGCGGTACAAGTGGTGCGAGGAAGCTCGATGCTGCCATGACATACCTCCGCTGGACCATGCGTCCCGCCGGTTGTACCCTCAGACTAGGCGCGGCCGCCCGTCGCAGGCCAAGTTGGAATACCCGCTGAGAAGCCATTGTGCAGTGTCTCTGATGCCAATCGACAGAGCCGTCAGGTGTCGTGTGGTGGTTGTCGACCGTCGATGATGCGCAGTGCCGCCAGCCCAAATCTTCCCGATTCCCGAGGTCCCCCTACCGCCCAATCAGCAGCCCAGCATTACGCGGCTTAGTCACGCACTTGGCGGACACCCGATATTTTCTCGCGCGCGCCCTTCCAACTTCCATTCCTTCACGAACCTCGATATCGCCGGCAAGGAGCGCTTGACGTGCTGAACTGCGGGAGTGACGGCCTATTTTGTCTGCTGGCGTTATGTCAGTGGATGGGGCTCAGGAGGGATCGGAGAGGGACTGCCTGTATTAATCGCTTGTGTTGACTAAGACCATGTCTGCACGAGTTTCATATCAAGGCTACATATTGTGTTTTTGCGTGAAATTTGTAACCTGTCGACACAGAGGCCTCGATACATCGCCTGATGCGAAGCTTGCGAAATAATGAGATGCGTAATTGCAGCATTATAACGTCGAGCTTTCCCATGCTGGTCGACCCATTTGCCCGTCATTTGAAGCGGGCACGTGAAGGCGCTGACGGGTAATTCCTGTCATCACACTCGTCTTGTGCCTACGATGTCGTCCGAAAATGTAGGCAACAAGGCAATGTGGGTGTTCGATGATGCTTGGGTCGAGGCATCGTTACCACGCTCGGTGATGATTGCAAATTTTCTTCTACTTCAACTTCGTCCCGCTGCCGTCGCAATAACGTGACCTCTTTCGCCCATCGTCATACCTGCAGCAATAACATCAACACACATTGACTGAAGAACCCCATGGCGCCTCTCCGCCAGATCTCTAGCGCCGACGCCGGGCTTCCGGCCGGCTCGTACATCTACAAAATCATCTCCACAGCGTCACGGCAAGATCCTCTTACCTACTCTTTGACCGATCAATTGGCCTGCATATCTTCGGACGACTCGTTGCGTTTTCATAGCGCCGACTTACAACCTGATGGTGTGATCGCAAACGCAAATGAAAACATAACCTGTCTGGAAAGAGCGAACGATGCACCCAGCAATGTTGTCGCAACAGCAGGAAGAGACGGATTGATCAGGTTCTGGGACAAGAGGAGCAAGCAGAAGGTCTTAGAAATACAAAGTCGTGAGTGACTAGATCCTTGCCTAGCTAGATGCGAGGGATGTGAGGCTAACGATCAGCACAGCACACAAGCTTGTCTCAGCACTTGTGTGCGACGCTGAAAAGAACTTCGTTGCTGCTGGTATCGAAAACCCAGAAGACGGACCGACCAGCTCGCCGGTCTACATATGGTACATCGCCACAGCCCTCGTCTATTGGTAGCATCAGCATCACTAACCCATCCTTAGGGATCAGCGCAGCCCTGCAGCTCCTCTCAGATCCTACGTAGAGTCTCATACTGACACCGTGACAAACCTTGCTTTGCACCCATCGCACCCGACTCTACTCTTGTCATCTAGCACGGACGGCCTAATCAACATCTTCGACACTTCTCAGGCAGATGAAGATGATGCCTTGTACCAAGTTGTGAACCATGGATCAGCCATTGCACATGCAGGTTTCATGTATCCTGGCACAGACATCTATGCAATTGGTACGGACGAGACAGTGAGTTTCTTTGCTCTACAGAGCCAGAAAGAGGAAGAGGAAGAACCGACTCCGAAGGTGTGGGGCGACGTTAGGGAAGGATTAGGATGTGAGTATGTCGTGGATCTGGCATGGGTCGGACAACAGGCCTGTGTTGCTGCAGGAAAGCATAGGTATGTCTTCCATCTGTGGTGTATACCAAAGCGATTATCAGTACTAAGTGGTCACAGCGAGAATCTTCTCAACCTCATACCGATCGATAAAGGTACCAACGGACCTCTGGATTACAGCTTCGATCTCGACAAGAGCATATCCTTCCCAGGCGCCCACGGCGAGGAGATTGTTCGCGATCTCTTCACTGATACTCATGTAGGCACAATCTCATTACAATATGACATGACGTTCTATAGCTGACATGCATGGCAGACAAACACAACATACACATGCGGCGAAGATGGGCACATTCGTGCTTGGAAACCTTCAGAAGAGAGCACCATGGACGTTGACGAAGGAGCGGGATCAGCGAAGAAGAGACGCAAGGACAAGAAAGAGAAGGCAAGGTTCAAGCCATATTAATATCCCGCGACTGTACTCTCGCGACTACCTCCGACCAATGTTGACATTGGAAAGAGCAAGTGCATGCGCGCTGTTGTAAGACTAGGTATGTGCGGATACAAATCTGCAGGCACCCACAATCAACACTACTGCACAGTGGTTCTGTATCGAACTAGAACTTCCTTCCGCTCAGAAGCATCGATTTTCTTGCAGTTTAATTAAACTGTGACGACACGTGTGCTAGCCGTGACCTACGAGCGACTCTCCCATGTAGGCCGACTCAAAAAAAATGGCAAAAACCCAGAACTTTTGAAGTTCATCGAATTCATGAGGCGCAATGTACTGTCGACCTCGGGAGGTCACGACTCGCTTGTGGCTCGCCGCCCTCCACGGAAGCTAACGTTTCACCCCAGCCACCCAAACAGCATGACAGTTTCATCCCTCCTTACCCTCCCGCCATCATTCCAACGTCTCGCAAAGCGCCTAGAAGGTCTAAGCGACTGCTCCTGTATGATCTGCGTATCGTGATATGCCTTCAAGGGCGCCTGAGCGCCAAGGTATCCATTCCCTTCACGCGCCCGTTTCCGCCATGCTCGAAGCAGGCGTGTGGCCGTGTTTTCCAGGCCGACGCAACCGATTGTGTTGTTTTGTGTTTGTCTCGTGTGTTTTCTACCGGTGGAACTTTTGCGTTGGATGAGGGAATTGGGCAGATGCAGGATGCAGTACGGGTGTTGCGGCCAGAGAGAGCAATGCATCGTGAAGTCTTTGCTGGGCCGAGGCCAACATCTACGCCTGCGGAGCTTCCTGAGGCAGCGTGTATAAGAGAGGCCTGGTACCGCGCCGCATAGTAGCCTCATCAGCATCTTCAACCACAGTCTTCTCTACTACTCTCTACTTCGCTCTCTATTCAATTCTATTCCTTCCGCTGGTCGGTTCTTCATTATCAATAATCCCTTAACCATAAACACTATTACCGGCACCGTCATACCCACCAACAAACCAACTCAACCGCAAAAATGAAGTTCACCATCTCCGCCATTGTCCTCGCTCTCTCTGCCCTCGCCGCTGCCAGGCCTCAAGGCGCCAACGACAACCGTCCCGTTCCCGAAGGCGCATGCTGTGTCGCAAACACCAGCTTGAAGCAGGATGTGTGCACTGTCAACGGACAGAGCGGCCGATGTGTCCCCGACAGCGTCAACAACTGTGAGTAACCCAGATATCATGATCCATAAATGAGCGTTCGGAGCTAATCACATCACATAGGCGGCGCCCAGTTGACCTGCATCGAGGACAGCCGATTGAACTGCGACCCCAACACCCTTGAGAGGGGCCGCCCTCTCTGCCGCCGCATCCAGGGCGCGTAAACGACTGGCGATTGGTTTCGAGTTTGGAGGAACAGTAAATATGTTTATATTATAAAGATCAGTATGATTTGGATTGGACTTAGTAGTGGTAGGAGGAGCTGTGGTATCCAGGTCCGATAGTGATATAGGCTACATCGGCTGACAATGAAGATGCTGTTTCACCTTATTGGTTCTTTCTGGGTGTTTTCGTGACGATCTGCTGTAGTGTTTTTGGACTTTGAGGTTGTGAGAATTTCCGATGAGGCTCTTGACACTCTAGTCTAGTTCACTGGCGTTCTCTTCATGGTCTAGTAGAAACTCGCGACAGATCGATGTAGAACAATCTAGCTGCCAGACTGCCTTGTTTGTAGTTTTTTGAAACAGCGAACAGTATCACTATAAAGCTTCGGGGGTACGTGGATACATGCAAATGCGTTGCATTGTTGCTCAGTTTCAACCGATCTTCAATGCTACCTGGTCACTTGATACACATCTTTTGCTTCGCACACGTGCATTCTGTACAGGTTCCTACCGCTAAATAGAGGCTACGTATCCTTCCTGTTGCGCCTTAGTCCCGACTGTTCAGCCCGTCTATCCAAACGAGAATCAACTCCGCAAATAACAACGATAGCACATCAAGACTTCTGCGCCCACCAGACATGCCCGGTAACTGGATCGATGACCGCATATCGATACGCCTGGATGATGCTCTAGCAGCTGCAGATCGGCATTTGGCAGAAGATAATGAGCCTCAACGGCCTGAGACTGTGCGTGACGAGTTGAAGGAGCTGTTTGGAAGCACTGACCCGAGGAGACTTTCTTATCGGCCGCAACCCCACTCATCTACTTTCGCAGCACCTGAGATGTTGCCTGAACCAATTCCTGAAGAAGAGGATGTTAGCTTCCAGACTCTCATGAGCAACGCAAAACGCGTACTGCCTAACAGAGTTTGGGCAAAGCAGGAAAGACTTGGTAGAGAGCTGACACGCCAAGGCATAAGATTTCTCACATTGATAGATGCTGCGGCCTGTTTACCGAAGAAGCACTGGTCATGGACTGTAAAGGAGGCAGTTAGCACACTATACGCGATCAAGGATCGTTGCGGAGAAGTAATGGAGAGCCTATGGTACCAGAACCTTAGTGACACTGATGGGCTGCACGAGAAGGCCAGAATCCTCCATCTAACACATAACGCTAGAGCTTATGTGTTAGTAGTTCGACTTACCTTCTTTCTCTGCCGTCTGGAAGGCAAGCTCATGGCTGAGGTCGACGCTGATGTGGAACGCAATACTTCGGCTCTCGGCGTACCGCCCAATTTCAACATCTTCGATGAGTTAGAGCAGCTAGAACTACGCATCGAGACGAATCGTGACGAGTGTTTAGAAGCTTTCGAAGATGGCGCTCAAATGGAATGGCGCGGGGAACCGGTCCCGGTCGAAAAGGTATCAGCTCCTATAGAAGGCCTCACTGATGCCGACTGCGCCGTGTGTCAGGACGCGCTTATACCGCCAGGCGTAATCACAGCATGTCGACACAGCTATTGCCGCACTCATTTGGAGCAATGGATCCATGCTGCAAGGGAAAATAGCCATCTATGCTGCATCTGTCGTACGGAACTTTTCCCAAAGCCCAGCTATCGGATTAAAGATCCGGAAGATGGTTGCAACTACCAACATGAGATGGATTGGTGGGATAAGGCGCTGACGAACGTGTGCATCGTGAAGCATTGGGCATTATGGCTAGAGCAAGAGCGACAGCTTCAAATCACGTACGAAAGAGAGACGGTATGAGTGCACTCTGTCTTCGGAGCGACACTGGGAAGCCATAGGAAGGGCCTCTGCGCATGATCCGGCGTCGGAAGCCCAGGTTTTGTCTTCATGGTTTGACCGAAGATGATCTGAAGTAGAACAGACTTTTGATAGGAGCATCTGTCAAGGCCGAAATAGTTCATGTAGCAGAGTCGGTATGCTTGATGACATGGTTAATGAAGCTGAATAGTCGGGAATGGGTCTGTGCCTACGGTGTTGCGAGAAGGACCGAACATGATATGCCGTTCGTCGACTAGAAGTTTCCACGTCTCGGCGGTGCTTTCATTGAAACCCGAATGAGTGCAGAGTAGCGAATGCGCAGGAAGTTCCTACGGGTGTTGGTTTGGCAGCTGTACACCTGCATTCTTTAACGCGTCAGGCTCGCGTTCGTATGACGTCATCGACAGCGATAGCCCGCCGGTCACCCGGTATCCCTACGTAAGGTATCCCTAGGTGAAACGCCAACGGTGCTAGAACTTGGAGGGATCATGTGAAATGACAGCTAGGCAGGAGGCTCGTCTGTTAGAGCAAGGAGGAATGAGTGTTGATGAGATTGTTCTCTATACATTCATGGATGGGGTGCATTGCAGGGTTTCTGGTAGCGCCAGGGGCTAATCGATAAGCGTCACCTCGGGAACGCGACACTTATTTCTTTACCGTACCTGCTTCACACGAGGGCGGTCCCACATTCACATCTGGTTCAGCGTGCGCTCGTGCAGGACATTACTGACATAACGGCTTCATTCCCGCTCTCCACCCCAACATTGAATGCTCGAGCAAAGTTGTAAATCTCCTGCAAAGCGACGTCGAAAAGCACCCTTGCAACGATAAAGTCATGTTTTCGTCAACGTCTTCTTTGTTCAATAATGCGGATGTCGGCGGCCGCACGAAGAGAACAGAGACAGGATACCCAGTGACCGTGGACGGAATTGGAGCCGAGCCTATAGAGTAAGTTGCGTCTAGCACAGTATCATCACTTTAAGTCAACATAATTAACAGCGACCTAGCTTGAGCGAGGAGTTCTGCAATGTTAGTCTACCGAATGTACTTTTCTTTTTGCAGGTTGTTAACAGTGACAGGAGCTTTGCTCGGATGCACCGCTCGATTCTACAGGCCGTTTTCACGATCGTAACGCTGTCATCGAGAAGTTGCAGCGAATGAGACCAGACTTTGATTCCACGTCTACGAATTTGGCCGTGTTGAAGTATGTTCCTAAAATTGGTCTAGGTGGTGATCAGGCTAACACATGAGTAGTATCGAGAAGATAAATATTGAGAGACGCTCAAAGCCGTGCGCACAACCACCGACAGCCGAGCAAAACGATGAGCAGATTTCAGGCTTAGTTACTCCACCAGCGGATGGTAGCTCCAATGCCTCCTCATCAGGCTCATCGTCAAATGACTCGGAACATACCGAATCAGATTTCGTCTCTGCTCAAGGGGACGACGAAGCAACAGTTGCGCAAAGCCTTATCACTGAATCCAACATGGGGAGCGTTGTTAGCACACCAGTATCGAGTTCGAAGTCAAACTCTCAGAATGAGGCATCGCTGTCTATCGTCTCACCAGAAAGAGCACAGAAGGCAGCTTCGTCGCAGCTTCCACCGTTGACTCTTCCCCCAGGTGGGTTTGGGGCATCTGATAAGTTATTCGTATCCGGAAACTACGATTTCACATTCACTCAGCCTTTCGAGCCCTCGAAACCAAGCTCGACCACAACGAATCGTAAATCTTCTTTGAAAGAACATACAAATCCGGACGCCACCAGGTCAGAGTCATCAGCGCAGGATGCTGCACCGAAGCTGTCACCACCTCCCTACCCTTCAGCATCATCGTCACATGCTAGGCCTACAAACACACTCGCTGCATCTAGCGAATTGGTTCTCCCTAAACCTGCGCAAGATCAGCCCTCAGCAACTGTCACCGAAGAGAATAAGCCCCAGATTCGCCACGCTCCATTACAGAGCGTTCCGGGCCCGAACTCACGACCGATTGCAGCTTTACCGACCAGAAGAAAACCAGCAACACTCACAACATCTGGAAATACTGCATCGCAAGCGCCAGCGACGCAGTTGCCGGTCTCCTCATCCTCTATATCCCGCACATCAGCAAAGGCCCCCACGATACAAACACCAGCATCGCAAGTTTCGGCAACTGTACCAAAGCAATCGGGGCCTGCATCTTCATTGCCGTCACAAGCCCTCCCTAAGACAGCATCTTCAGTCCCAAATAATGGTACTGCAGGGAGTAATCGCCCAGTCTCAGCATCCGGCCAAGGAGTTCGCATGGCTCAGTCATCCCGCTCATTACCGCTACCCGCGAAAAGTGATCGACAGGATTTTGAATTGGATCTCAGTCTTATGGACAGTCTCGTTCCTAACAAGTTCCAATCCGATAACGCTGATGCGACTATTGAAGGTGTTATGAGAGATATCAAGCACGCGCCGTTGCTATCGGCCCCTGTGGTCGCTCAGCACGTGAAAGACTTGGTCCCGCAATTCGGCTTCATCGGTAATCACCGGGACGAAGCGGGACATGCCGTTAAGCTGTTCTACAACACCAATGTGCCTTTGTCCGCATTCATATGCGGTGTTCAAGGAAGTGGTAAGAGTCATACTACAGCTTGCTTGCTCGAAAATGCTTTGATTCCATCCAAGAACCTCGGCCGTTTGGAAGCGCCTGCTTCTGCATTAGTCTTCAGCTATGGAAGTTGGAGCACTGGCGGAGCAGGTTTCAGCGTCAGTGAAGCTGTGCATCTGGCTCGTGCGCAGCCCGAATATCCTGGCCAAAACGTACGAAGAATCACTGTGTTGGTTTCCGCACACAATGGAGCGATCAGAAGCTGTTACGAGGATCCCTCTCGTAACATCCGCGTGATTCCATTCAGACTCAACGCCCGGGCTCTCGACATCACCGGTTTGCGTGCACTGATGGGTATTGGAGATAAGAGCCCCCCACTCTACATGGGCCAGGTCGAAATGGTACTCATGAAAATGTCATCCGCGAGCAAAGATGGACGACTCGACTACAAGTTGTTCACCAAAGAAGTTAAGCGGATAGATCTAAACGATGCACAATCGCAAGCCTTGAAACAACGTTTAGCGATGCTTGAGTCCTTCCTCGATCTGGACGGCAAGGCGGCGGAGCCAGAGTTTCTTCCAGGCGAGATGATTATCATGGATCTGTCCGATGCTTTCATGTCATCGAGCACAGCCTGTGTTCTCTTCAAGCTGGGCTTGGACCGCTTTCTGGAATCTCCTGTCAAGAGTAAGATGGTAGTGTTGGACGAAGCGCACAAGGTATAGTATTTTGGTCCTCGTTCAACAAGCTCTTGCTAACACAATGCTAGTACATGTCCGATAGTCCAGGATCCAAATTTCTCGCAGACAGTCTCGACCACACGATCCGCTTCCAGCGGCACTTGGGTACCCGTATGATCATTTCTACTCAAGAACCGACCGCGTCCACAGATCTTATTGCGCTTTGCAACATGACCGTCATTCATCGCTTTACGAGCCCTACCTGGTATGCCGCACTCAAGAGACATGTCAGCGCCCTTGACAGCAACGACGACAAGGCTCTCATGCAGCGGATCGAGGGATTGGAAACCGGAGAAGCGCTTGTGTACTGTCCGAGCACTGTACTCGCGAAGAATGACGACGGAAGTTTAGAAAAGGCTACGGGCCAACTGCTTAAGATCAACATTCGGAAAAGGATAACGGAAGACGGTGGCGAGTCGATCATGGCCGTGTGATTAGTTGCGTATTTTCTATAGTTGTACTAGCGTAGTTCAGACATGGCTTCCTGCCGTTTTGAGCGTTTTGTGTAATTGTGGGCATGTTTCACAGAGATCACGGTCAGAATAGGGCGTGGAGGTTTTGAACGGCATGCTAGTTGTACCTCTATTGCCTTTTAATGGCGAGCCGTGCTACAAGTAACATTTTTACTCCCGGTGGGCGATTCAACGGCCCATGATCCACCGGTACTGTTACGTTTGGAATCGTGACTTGAGATCTCATCGTCTTGATGAACAGTAGTCTTAACCACGATACGCCCGGCATTCTTCGCAAGTTCCTCCTGGCTGCTATACGCATCAACCCAAAAGAGATCTCGATTATCACCTTGCGGTCGTATCGATGAGCTGACTATAATCTTCATTCTTATATTGTCGGACGCTTGTTTGACATAGCCTTGCGCGTTATAGGACGGCTTCGACGCGTTCGAGCGTTTGCGGACCAGTATCGCGAAGGCGGGTGAACATCCGATGATGACAGCTAGAGATATTGTTAGTACAGATTACATTTTCCAGGCCTCCAAACAGAGCATACCCATAGCACACTCTACAACAGTCCAAAGCAACAACCACTTAGGCTCAGGTGTAGTCGCTCTGCCACGACCGTCGACTCCGAGTTGTACAACACGAAGCGTGGCGAAAGCGATACATATGAAGCCGCTGCCAAACAGCACGAAGACGCCAATCTTCTGCTTACGTGGTAGTTGGAGATTCCAAGTCAGTCGGATTGGTAGAAACATTACTGTCGCCGATCAGTATCGCTTAGTGTAATGCTCGAGGCTCATTCAACATACTCGCGAAGTCGGTAGCGACGTCTACCGAGTATGCAAAATAAAGACTGAAAATGATTCTGTCGTTCTCGTTTGGGGTGCCAACGCATCTGCCTTGCGCATATTTGGTCTTCAGATTGTCGCACGTAAAAATGCTGCTGAAAACACTGCCAATCCATGACTTTCGGAAGTAAGCCTTTGCATCTTGGGCACGAGACCAATGTGAGAAGAATGACTTACGATCATACAAAACGAGACGATAGCCCACCATATCTTCTTGTATACACCAGGAAGACCGGTCAGCAATTTACGGTAGAGTGTCAACAAAGACATCTTAACCGAAAGAAGAAGTGTGTAGAAGCACATCTGGCCTGCTACAATGAATCTTATCATAGCCGCGGTATCTTCTATGATTGTCGCGTAGGGTTCGGCCAGGCCTCCCAGGACTGCGAACACCCGGAACATAGGCCAAACTGCCATCAGATAGCATGTCCACATTGAGACGAATAAAGCGAAAGCAAAGTAGATGAAGAAGTCCGAGAGGTCGAATGATCGACGTTTCAAAACTTGGAGTGTGATGCGAGAGAACACAATCGTTGATGTCAGGACGAGCATGGCGGCGTTTGCACGCACCAGCTCGTCCCTCGTGATAGGTGTCTTTGAGGGTGCGGACATTCGAGTTGATGAGAAATCAATAACCAAACGGATTTACAGGTCCTGGAAAGCATCGTTCGAGTCGAAATACAAATGTCGGGGGTTCTTGGAAGACTTGGAAGGCTCTGCGGCGTGGTTCCCAGGTCCCTGGGACAGCCAGCATGAGGTATCAATGGTACCTGATGATGTACGTTGACCCAAACTGACAAGTGGACTCCTTCCTCAAGGATGCTGAGTGTCACAGACAAACCCTGTCCATGTTTGGGCTTGCCGTCCCAAGCATCCTACGTCGTATGTAACCGAAAATACGATGCGATCTAGAACGCAGGATTCCAGGCTCATAAACAAAAGTTTCCTTAGGCTAACACCGGGAGGGTAGGCCGAATTAGGCTGGTAGAAGAGATTGCTGCGGCTTGTTGCATTGTCCCCGTGTGGGCCCTGAGAGCGACCGTATTGAGCGTATGTAATGAGGATTGTACCGCGTATCTGTGTAGGGCTTCCGACCGGTGGCGGCCTTTCATTTTGCGCTCAACGCATGAAGGAAGCGAGAAAAACTTCCCCAGAAAGGTAATATGTCCTGGCGGATGGGATGACACTTGCGATGGCGTGTCTGGGTACTCATTAACCAGATTGCTGGATCTCTATTGTGGATTCTATTGGCTACCTGGCGTCCAAAATCATATACTGCAGATGTAGAGTGCGGGCCCATCTGGGCATGAATCCATTGAAGCGGGAACCTAAGGAACTCAGGATCGTTGCGAGGAAAGAGAAGCAGCTAAGTGGTGCCGTTCATCAGTTGCTATTCCGGCAGCTGACCAGTTGATGCATCGTTGATAATGCCTTCAGATAGATGGTGACGCGATACAGGCATGGGATCGTGGTGCCGACAACGTCGTCCATCCTCGGACGGCAGGCTGCCGCCTCGCCGGCCAAGCGCCGCTTGGCGTTCAGGGTCCCGCATGTGCACCTACCTGCGCCAAATGCCGCACCCGTGCGCCAGCCGACCGACTGCCCGCGTGAGTCCGCCCGCATCATCCGCCATATCGCTACCAGATCTCGCCGAAGAGGTTGGTTCGTCGATTAGTGGACACCATTCTCTCTTGTCACGGTATGTAGTAGGATGGGTGCCAGCGCAATGACACAGGTAGATACGGCAGAAGCAGTCGGGTCTGCCGCCGCAATATAATCTATGCAAGCGAGCCGTAGGTACAGTAAGGGCTCCCTTCCCGCAGGAAGGTTTACTCCGCCGCGTCCCAAGCTCGAACTTTGCCACCGCCGCACGTGTGCTAAGCTTCGCATGTGACAACCCTAGTATTGAGCCATTCACAGCCAGCAACGCAGTCATGGAACCACAAGCGAGATGAACCGCGCATGCACCTGGGCACGACGTGCCAATTATGGTCCGCGGAAGATCTTCCAGTACAGAATGATAAATTGAACTAATACTACACCGCATTCTGGCATCTCGAGCACGCCCAGCATCGTTCATTCTTTACGCACAACGTCCAAGATGAAGACCTTTCTTTCGCTTAGCACCATCGTGGCAGCCGTTTCAGCCCAGAATGGAATCTTTGAACCCGCAGACTTCAACATAACGGAAGCCTTGATATCCAACGGCGTCAACGTCTCAGCTATTCCTGAGCTCTCTGGTCTGGTGGAAAGAACTGCATCAAGCGGTTGCTCTATTGCTGTATGTTTTGAACCGAACACTTCGCTCATAATCTAGAGTACTGACTGCTTCCCAGTGTTCCTCCCTGAAGCTGATCTATGGCGGCGACAAGCTCCTGTCTGAGGAGACGTCCGCGTATGACGCCTTTACTGGCAGTTATTGGAGCATTCAACAGGGAACCGTGAACCCGAGATGTGTCTTTAAGCCATCTAACACGATCGAAGTGTCTTCGCTAGTTCTTCTCTCTCGCCTAACGCAGTGCCCTTTCGCTGTAAAAGGTGGTGGCCATGCTGCTTTTGCCGGAGCGTCGAGTATTGACGGCGGTATCACCGTCTCGATGGAGCGTTTCAATCAAGTCGCAGTGTCGAATGACAAGAAGTATGCCAACGTTGGAGCCGGAACTCGCTGGGTCGATGTCTACAAGGGTGTCGAGAAATCTGGTGTCAGTGTTGTTGGAGGCAGAGTAGGTTCTTTACATTCACGTGTGGGATACAAAGGCTAAAATGGTTTTAGATGGCTCCAGTCGGTGTTCCGGGACTCGTTCTTGGTGGCGGGATCTCGTTCTTCTCGAACAAGCTGGGATGGGCATGCGACAACGTTGCTAGCTATGAGGTTGTGACTGCGTCTGGTCTCGTTGTCACCGCAAGCCCAACTCAGTTCGCTGATCTGTACTGGGCTCTTCGCGGTGGCGGTAACAACTTTGGTATAGTTACTAACTTCAAGCTCAACGCCTTTCCCCTTGGCAAGATGTGGGGTGGCCAGCGCATTTTCACAGAGAATAACTTCCCAGCCGTCCTCGATGCTATCTACAAATTCGCTACTGTCGGCTCTTCGAAGGATACCGACGCTGCCGAGATCGTATCATTTGGCAACTACCCAGGGATGGGCAAGATCGCGATCGTTCAGACTCATTACGCCCAGCCCATTGCCAATGCCTCTGTCTTTGATGATATCAACGCTCTTACGCCTGTCATGGACGACACGGGAATTGGCTACCTCAGCGACCTTACTATAAAGATGAATGGTGGATCACCGAACGACACACTCGGCTCCCTCCAAACCCAATGGGATGCCACATTCAAGGTCGATCGCGAGCTATTCAGCTTCCTCGTGAACACCTTCTACAGCCTCATCCCAGGCGTACAAGATCTTCAAGGCGCATTCCCAACAATCTCAATCCAGGCTATCACTGAAGGCCAATTGAAGGGTATGCAGAAGAACGGTGGCAACGCCCTTGGTCTTACGCCCGCTAAAGGCCCTATCTTTATCATGAACATGAGTGCATCATTCGCCAACGCAGCTGATGAAGCAACTATCTTGAAGTTCCTATCTACGATCATCAAGAAGGTCAAGGCAGAGGCAAAAGCCAAAGGCGTGGACAATGACTACATCTACATGAACTACGCCTCCCAATTCATGGATCCGATCGCTAGTTACGGAGCGGCGAATGTTGAGAGACTGGTCGGTGTGAGCAAAAAGTACGACCCCGCTCAAGTCTTCCAGAACTTGCATCCCGGCCATTTCAAATTGAGCAAGGGAGCCCCGAATCCGAACATGCCATAAGAGCTTTAGTGTTGCGAAGCTCCATCTCAAAAGTAACCCTCAAAATCTTAATACATCACTATACATCGTATTCGGCTCATTGCACTAGGTGACCTCCAACTTTGACACTTTTGTGATACCGTTGGATTGCTTTATCAGCGGTGGATGAAGAGATGAACACCTTCACATATCGGAGCGACGAGCTCTTGGTCAACATTTGCTAATTAACCGATCATGTATGTGAGAATATGCCGCCTGTATTTGGAAGATCCATTCGACAGGACATCGTCTCTGCGGATGCGATATGCAAGAAGTTTACGGCATGGGACTCGAACAAGTCGCCGAGTCCCGTTGCATGTTTCAGGTTCACTGACTGCTGAACTAACGAAAGCAATCAGCTATTGAACCAGTCAACACCCCTAACCATCTTATCACATATGTAGCCAGTGACAAGCGCATATGTCCCCTTATGCAAAATGTCAATGACCTGCTCGTTGATCGGCCACGTCCACGGAACCATTGACACATTTGCCGTGGTCTCCACCAATTGATCCAGCATGATGCGAATACCGGTGTGCATGAAGACAGCGACCGGCCCGATGACGCCGTAGTACGACATGACCGCTCTGAAAGGTCCAGCAAGCATGCCCATACCGAAATGATGAGCATGGTTCAACAGGAACGTGTGGCGCTGGTAAAATTCTGGCGAGACACCCATGTGGTTGCCCATCGTTCGCGCAGGTACGTAGGAGTCTGGACGGCCTGTGAAGAACTGTTCGACTTTGTTCGATCCTGACATGCTGGAGAGAGTCAGGCGTTTGCAGATAGAAGATTAGGTGGCGACTGTCTTACACTAAGGCCCCTACGAAGCCGGCTCCGATACCGATAGCGACCGCGCGACCAAACCCGACCTGCGGAAACTTTGGAAAGCTCGATTTCGCATCTGGATACGAGACCGTGCCGGTCGCGGTGTGGTATTGAGGCATGGCGACTAGAATTTGATTGGCAATAAGAGGAAGGTAAAGGCTATTTGGAGGATTTTGAAGTGAAGAAGGTGGATATTAACCCTTCGTATTGTCTGGTTTAAGTATTTGACGTGGGTGCTGCGACACGGGGTCGTCGTGAGTGACCAATAATTGCGTTCAGCTTCGTTCATCTTGACGTCACGCATTATCAAATGTCCATATTACGCGAATTCCCTCCAAAGCATACTTGGTGACACGTTATCCGGTTAATCAGCAATGAACATAGTGTCCCGAGGAATGGTATCGTAAAATTATTATCCCGAGCAGTGTGTCATGTTGAACGTGACGTCTTCGTCTCTTCTTAAATCTACCGCAACACATCCGGCGAAGCCCAGCGCATACACGCGATCTAGAACCACTTGGTCAGACTATGTGAACGTCTACTGCAAGGGTTCAGAGTGACTCTGAAAATGGTACTGTATGGTTTGGCTTTTAAGACCATATGGGACGATGGTAAGTATCAGAGACAAGCGTCACGAACTCTAATCAGCAACGGGAAGATTGTTTGATATTACCTATACACTGACATTGGGAACATCTCAAAAGAGTAGAAACGTTGAGGAATGTGTAAAACGTGGCAAGAAAGAGAAGTGTCTAATATGCTTAGGGTGTGGATTTCGTTACCGTATGGCTTTAAGATCATGGTATATTTGGAGTAGTAAACCACTCCAAGCACATGTTCTGGAGTAACGTGTACATGAAGATCACCCAGCCCGATTGGTATAGACCAATGACCTTCCACCTCGCCACGCCGTCCGAAACGGCCGCTAACCTGCCCAGGTGCCCCTGATTTCTGGACCTCACACGTCGGTACGCATTCCCATTCTCGTTTTCAGCTCCGTAATGGTGCTGAGATGTTTTTTGATGGCCTCTTTTGCACGTTCGGAATTTTCTGCTGTGATGACAGCCGGAACTGCATGTTCACGTGTAGCTCTCTGTATATCCTCGCCATCCTTAAACGCATCCAGGATCCTGTTCTGAATTTCTTTCTCTTCCGCATCATGCTCTCTTTTGCGCGTTTCGGCCTGTTTCTTTCCCCAAGTAGCATCCTTGATAGAATTCTTGATTCTCTCCGGGCTCGATGGTCGAGGCACGATATGCTTGTCGATATCGCTTTTCAGCGTTTCGAGGGTTCGTCCGAGTTTTTCTTGACCTCTATCAGCTTCATTAAACCGTTGCTTTCGGGTATAATCGTCCATGATGTAGTGGATTTGAGTATTGATCGATACGTCGGTTTTCTTGTTTGCGGATATGCGTTGTCGCTATCGATTCGAGAAGGTAGTAATGCTTGTTGGAAGTGATTCGTATGAACGAGAGCTGTCTATCTGTACTGATGTTATGGTATTAGTATAAGGATACAAACTCACTGAAGTTTTTATAGTTCTCTCCAGTCATCACTTCTCTCGCAGTCATAGTAGCAGTCACCTAGGTCGTGTGTTTTGACTGTTCTCGCTCGAGCGGGCTGAGAAAGGAACGTGCCAGTAGCGTGATTGAGTTGCCGGATGTGTAATAGAGACACTGAGTCTGCAGGGGTTGCACAGTGAAGAAACGGTCTGGTCATTGTTCTCACCACCCATCATCGCATGGTGTTATTGCGATAGCCGTTGCGCCATCAGAGAAACACTGAGCTCATACCTTCATAAAGAGCCGAGACTCAGTATGTTGGTACGTCGGTTGGGTCACCGTGCGACGTCTATTTCTTTGACACGGTTCTGCGTGGTCATGGCGTCGTGCGACATAGTGCACTTGAGGACGTAAGTAAGGTATGTGCTCTTGACACTAGTCTGCCAGTCAGCCATGATGCGAATAGTACCTGACTCTTTGGCGGACACATTCATAGCTGCGCAGCGTCTTCTCTCACCCCTGCCGATTCATAGTCAAGATAATTCGGTGTCGTGGTCTGATCTCCGTTCACGCGGTACCTCCAGCCATATGTTCATAAGATAAGTGGCATCTATTGCATTGGCCATAGAAGAGTCGACGGTTGGACGAGAGTGTTATGTTCAAGTAACGGGAAGACCTGCCGATAGCAGCCTACAGCGTTGATGTCATCGCATGGGAAGGTGACAAACGCGCTTTCGGCACTAGTACGCGTTGTTCCTATCCAGTTCACTTTCCACTCACTCACCCACCAAGCATCAACAAACAACAGCTTCTGAGCCACCAAAAGCACTCCAACCGCGTCTGCCACAGCCGAGTGCAAGATGTCGTCGTTTCTTGACCTGCCCGCTGAATTGCGCAACCAGGTATACGGTTACATTGCTATACCCCACACAGCACCTCTCTCCTCCTACATCGGGCTCTACCTGTCCAGTCGCCAGATTCGATCTGAAATGGACAGCGAGTGCGCCAAAATATTCCGAGCCTATCTTAAAACCTTCCAGGATCGGCACCAAGATGCCCACCTCGTTATACCTGAGAGTTTCGCGGAAATGCAGCACGTCCGCCTGCACGTTTTACCGACAAGCAACTCAAACCTCGACCGACGGCTCGACAAAGTCACGGCTATCTTCCTACTCCATCTCGCGAGCCTTTCAATTATCTATAGCTTTCCGGAAGACTTGCAGCTCTGGCATGAGGAGGACCATGGTGTGCTTTGGCTTGCCGATGACATTTGGGACCAGCTCAAGACAAGGGTGGTCAACTCTCAGCGGGTCAGAACAGTGTCCTTCTGGGCCTCAGAAGAAGATGCGAAGGGTTTCGTCGATTACTATCCGCACGATGAGTTTGTCCTCGCAAATTGGACCTTTCTATGGGATGTGGGGCTTGACGGTACTCTACATGGCGTGTGGAAAAAGGCAGATGGCAAGGGACGCAGCGAAGTGCCAGCGATTGATACCATGGCTTAGTGTTCGAGCTTGAGATTGGAACGGGTAGCGAATGAGGGTGCATGTTTCGTCATACATGCGATCCGTACAGAACGCACCGATCAGAGCGAGAGGCCGTGGTATTTGCCCGGTCACGAAAGCGTCCGAGCAGGGAGAAAGTGAGCGGCTGAAGCTATACACGCTGATGAAGATGTCTTCATATGCACACGACACGTATTCGTAATCTTAGTTCTATACAGATTGCGTTTCATCTCAGATTCTACGATCCTTTCCCTGTTGCAATGCGTGCTTCTCATGCATCTATACACCCCAGAGCTCAATGTTCATGACCATGATGCTCATGCCCGGCACCCTTCTCAGCGAAGTCGATCTTCCACCCTTTGGTAATAAACACCCGCGGGTCCCTCACCACCGCATACGCAGCCTTCTTACCCTCGGCAGCATGGAACTCAAGCGGCACAGGCTTCTTCCTCTGTGTCTCCTTCTCACCTTCCTGCATGACGACGACCTCAGACTTGTCCTTCCAAGCCTTGGGTGCGCCGATAATGACGATCTTTTCGACGCGCACCTTCTCTATCGTCTTGAGATACTTCTCGCACTTGACAGTACGTTTGCTAGAGTCGAGATTGGAGGAAGTGAGAATCTGGCGGGTGCCGTCGAAGGAGAAGCGGCGGTGGATGAAGGCACCCATTTCGTAGTCGAAGGTCTCGCCGTCGTCAACGTACAGAGTACCGGCAGCGTTACCGTCTTTGTCGAGAGCGATGACCAGAGTGAAGGGGTCGTACTTCATGAGACCAGAGGAACGACGAGGACGGTCGCGGCGTGGGATGACATGGCCACCCTGCATAAGAAGAGGAATCTTTTCGAGAGGAGCCGGTACAGTGTGGTGCCCAGCGCCGCTGTAGGTGGTGAAGTCGAAGTAGTCGTAGTAGGGCTGGTCGTCCGCGATGTAGATAGAGACACTGTCAGCACCTTCCTTTGTGACTGGCTTGGCGAGAAGACCAGTGGAACCAATGTAGAGTTGGTCGTCGACTTCGAAACCACGCTCGTCGGCAGGGTGAACCCAGAAGTTGGGTCGGATAATTGGGGCACCAGTGGTGTGAGCCTCGTGGAAGGCAGTGTACCAGGCAGGTAGGAGCTGGTAACGAAGTCGAAGGGCCTGAGTGATGATCTCCGTGTACGGAGAACCAGCGACGTATGGCTCACGACGACGAGTGTCGATATGAGCGTGACCACGGAAGAAAGGGTAGTAGATACCAGCCTGGTACCAGCGAGTCAAGAGTTCTTTGCTTGGGTTACCGAAGAAACCTCCAACATCCGCACCACCGAAGGGGAAGCCGGAGATACCCTGGTTGAGGACCATGGGGATGGAAGCCTCAAGATGACTCCACTCAGCCTGGTTATCGCCAGTCCACATGGCAGCAGTACGCTGACTACCAGAGTAGAAAGCTCGGGTTAGCACGAAGGGACGGCGAACCTCGCCCTTCTTGCGCTCCGTGATGGCTTGATATGTCGCGTTGTGGAAAGTCATACCGTTGATGTTGTGAACATCGCGGTGCTCCCAGTTACCGTGGTGCAAGTTGTCCTTGGGCATGGTTGTCTCAGGGCCGTTGAACACCGAGGGCTCGTTCATGTCGTTCCAAATGAAGGTGTTGTGGGCAGTGCCCTTGAACTTGTCGTAGTTGAACAAGCCCTTCCACCAGTCGATGGCAGCCGGGTTGAAGCAGTCGATCCACATGGATGAGCCAGGCCAGCACCAGCCTTCGTACTGCTTGCCTTCCTTGTTCTTGACGGCGAGGTCCTTCTTCCTCAGCTCGTCGATGATCGGGTAATCGTTTGTGTTCTTGATATGAGGGTCGATGATCGCAACAAGCTTCCTGTCACGCTTGTCGAGTTGCTGCTGCATGCCTTCGGGGTTGGCGAAGGTCAGAGGATCCCAGGTGAAGTACTTCTTCTCCTGTGTGTATTCAATGTCAAGCCAGATAACGTCGTACGGGATGTTGAACTTGTCAAACCTGCGGTCGACATCCTTGACATCCTCATCGGTGACGTAGTTCCAACGGCACTGGTGGTAGGCGATAGCGAAGGACTGGGGCATAGCCGTGTAACCAGTCAGCTCACCATACTGGCGAGTGAGGTCCTGAGGAGTCGGTCCAAGGAAGACGAAGACGTCCAGCAGACCACTCTCAGACATCCAGTGCGTCTCAGTATCGGTATGACCCTCAACACCAAGAGCGAGCGGGTTGGCGGTGTTCCTCTTCTTTGTCACGTCGATCCAGGTCTCGGCACCGTTGAGCCAAAAGACACCGACGGTGGAACCTTTGCGATGGGCTTGCATGAATGGGATGGCGCCGTAGAGGGTCATGGGGCTGTCCATCTCGTACTCGAAGACGTCGGCGTTGTACAGTCGGTATGGCTCGGTGTAGGCATTGTCGCCGCCCCTAGAGACTGTCAGCTAAGTAGGTATATCTGTGTGGATACTGCGCACCTGGTGGTCTTGAGAGATAGCCGTGTCGCGTGCTCTGGGATACCAAAGACGTGCGCGTATCCAGGGAACGAGATGTCCAGTGCAACAGCCTCAGGGCCTCTCGGCTTGCTGTCTGTGTTGCCACCAAAGCTCTCGTCCCACCACGTGCTTTCGTCCTCTACAGGCTCTTCGGCCTTCTTCTCTTCCTCCTTGACTTCTTCCTCGCCCTCCTTCTTCTCCTCCTCCTGGGGCTTCTCGACCTTGGGTCGCCAGTGTTCGACGTTCATGTAGCCGCGCTCATTGAACTTGACTTGCGTCTCGCCATCGCGTTGGAACTCGATGCCGAAGGGCGCGTGGCGGATGACGGCCTGGTGCTTGCTGCCCTTGCCGTAGACAACCTTGGTGTAGCCATCTTCCGTCTCGGGGTTGAAAGCAGCGCCCTTGGACGGGTCTAGCCCTCCAACAAGAGTCCATTGTGCCGCCTCGTTGTATCGCTCCTTCCGTGCTTGACTGTCGTGTCGCAGTTGGATGTCGCCCTTGGCCCTCTTCTCTTCGTCAAGAGTAACGCGTGCCACGCCCGATTCGAGGAATGTAACGGTAAGCGGCAAGCGAGCTTTCTCTTCGCCTTCCTTCAGTGTCTTGAGCACGACGGCATCTAATTGGCCATCTTTGAACGTGATCGAGGCAGGGTCGAGAACGTAGGGCGAGGTCCAGGAGCTCGAAGCGGAGACGTCATCGGCGAACTGGCGGTTGCGCTTGCAGAAGCCTGATTGACTGCATGTTTTGAAGTTCTCGTGCTTGACCGATACTAAAAGCTTTTAGTAACCTCCCCGTAACTTTATATGTATGCGGAAAGAAGGCCATCGTGGGCTGGAGATATCGGGGGTGAGCTTAGCTACATACCAGCTGGCACGAACAGGCAAGCCAACAGCGCCAACACCAAAAATACAGCCGTCCACCGGGGAGGCTGCTTCCGTAAAGTAATCATGACAGGCAGCTCTCTAATACACAGAAGCCAGCCTGGAATATCACCAGTCAATCAGTCAATCGGCCAGTCCTCAGCGCTCGAGATGCCATGTGGACTTTGAAGCAGCGCCAAGGTCAGGGTCCAGCTCTCTTGCACAAATCAGGCATAATTTTATGCAAGCTACCCCACTAGACAACAACGAGGGCGTCGATACCCCACCCCCTTCATAAAATTCCAGCTACACGTCCGCCTCTCCTTCTCGTTTCCTCTCATCAAGTCGTAAAGACACATCACTTTTACACAAAAACTCAAACGTCAATTCATCGCCAAAATGACTACCGAGCAGACGTACGTTCGGCATCTTGAGCCCAAGACGAGGGGCAGCTGAAGGGCGGTGAACAATATACTGACAGCTGAACAGCTTCATCGCTATCAAGCCTGACGGTGTTCAGGTATGTATTTCCCTCATATCTTGATCCTTATCCTTCTCAAGCTGTTGATAGTGAATCAATTGTTACAATGATTCTGCTGTTACGACTAAGACAGCGGGGTTCTCAACAAGATGTAAAAAGCAAACATACTAACAAATGCCCAACAGCGTGGCCTCATCGGTCCCATCATCACCCGCTTCGAGAACCGCGGCTTCAAGCTCGCCGCCATCAAGCTCGTCACTCCCTCCAAGGAGCACCTCGAGAAGCACTACGCCGACTTGAGCGACAAGCCCTTCTTCCCCGGTCTAATTGCCTGTACGTTGGCCATGCCGAACGATATATACCCAGTTTCATCACTGACACCATCTAGACATGGGCTCCGGCCCCGTCTGCGCCATGGTCTGGGAGGGCCGTGACGCCGTCAAGACCGGCCGCTCCATCCTCGGTGCCACCAACCCCCTCGCCTCCGCCCCCGGCACCATCCGTGGTGACTTCGCCCTCGACGTTGGCCGCAACGTCTGCCACGGCTCCGACAGCGTCGAGAACGGCAAGAAGGAGATCGCTCTCTGGTTCAAGGAGGGTGAGGTCCAGAGCTGGAAGTCCGCCCAGCACGACTGGGTTTACGAGAAATAGACGCCTCATACAGTTAGACTACGAGAGAATGGAGCGAGATTAGTAGCTACGAGCTTCTGCGACGGACAGCTGGTCCACGGACTGGCCTAGTAGTCGTAGACGCTCTGGGCGAAAAGCTGGCTCTAGACTTCAGGGTTTAGGTGTGGGCTATGAAGATACGATCGCATGAAAAGGAATATGGTAGAAACCAATGAGACACATGAATGATCTCTCAATACTTTATTGACTCGCAAAGTGATGCAGTGCTGCTCATACTAATGTGGTCCACCAGAACGTGGACGTAATACACCCAGTGTACCCTGTACATGCGCCGATAACATAACCATACCACACTGAAGACGTTTCTCAACGCCGCGCAAAAGCCCACAACCCTCATGCATCTACATCCGCCGGCTCCTTCCCCTTGTCTTTACTCCTAGTCCGAACCCTCGCCTCCTCTTTCTCCGCCAGCTCAGTACCTACCTTCGTGGTATACCAATCCCTCAACTTCTCCACTTCGCGCCACTCCCCTGCACCCTTCTCAACAGCCGGTCCTTTGATCTCCTCTCTTGCCCTCAATTCACCAAATGCACCCCTCTTAGCCCCCCAGACAGGTTTGCCCCATCGCCATACACACCACGCACTCTCATCTGCGCTTATCAACATGGGATGCCGGTTCAACGACTTCACGGCAAATGCGCGGAGTAAGACCACATCGCCGACCTGCGCCTCTGGAAGTGCGTTCTGGTAAGCGCGGAAGATCTGTACCGTTGTCGTCTCGGGCCAGGAGCTAGCATCCGTTATCTGCAGACTGGTGAACCAGTGTTTTGGACCCTTCTTGGCCTTTTCGCTTGGCGTAGTAGGAGAGGTGACCAGGGCAAGTATGTCGGGTTTGGTGGCCGAGTGGAAGTCGGAGGAGCGATTGAGGAAGTAGACGAGGTCCTTTAGAGGAGTATAGTAAGCTAGCGGGGTGGAAAGGCCGACAGAGGGTGGCTCGGGCGTCTCAGTGTTGGCGTCGTCGGACGATGGATCGATCAAGGTTGGAGATGCGGGAATAGTTGCTGCGTCGACCGATCTGTGTTTGCGGCGCGGTGTTGTTTTGGGCTCTGGTGATGCGGTCAAGACTTCCATGTCGACTTCGGCCTCGGCTTGGGTGGAGCGCAGGCCTGCAGATGTTGTTTGCGTGAGCTGAGGCGTCAAAAGGGTGTTTTGTTCATGTTGGGCGTTGATGCTGGGCTGCGACTCCATGGCAGTCTGCTGGCTTGCAGCAGGGGTGATAGGCCTTTTGCCCTGTTGTCTCGTCCGTTGGTCGATTCTGGGTGAAACGGGTGGTGAGCTGCGCATGAGCGCGTCAATATCACCGACGTCTTGGCTGCCTCCACCTGAAAGATCGTATACTTTTCTCCTCGTTCTTCGTCCGTTACGTGGGCTGGGAGTTATCGTGTCCTTTGATTGTGCTACATGTCGTTGCGTACCTGGACTGCTGACCAATGGCTGTGTAACGTACGGAGATTTTGGTTGAGCAGGACTACTACTCCTCATCTCCACGCTTTGCTGCGCGTTCTTCTTCCCTCTGACCTTCTGCTTTGAAGGCCCTAACTCTGGCGCAGTTGCTGGCGGCGGTTTCAAGCCTTCATCATTCTCATCATCAAAAGCATTGGCACGGTCGACAGGGTCGCTGTGATGCATGTACTCCATGTCTGAGGGATGCACAGTAGATATCGAATACTCAGAGCGTGCGCTCTCTTCTTCAGAGTCTTTGATGAAAGCCACATCAGAATATCTGCCTTGCGAGGCACCCAACTCCTGCGACGGCTGGAAGCTGGAAACGATTCGGTCATATTCCTGGGTTTGGGATACTTCAATATCCGGTATAGAGTCTACACTTCTTTGCGAAGCATGTCTACGCGAGCCTCTTTGACGAGCGATGCTAGCACCGGTGGACAAGCTTTCCACTGGCGACAATCTCGACTGTGAGCGAAGACTATAAGGAGAAGTCTGTGTGGATTCCTGAGCAGGAGAGAGGGCAGAATGAGTGCGTGTTCTGGGTGGTGAAACGGCTGAACGGGCACGCGAAGTCACAGATCTTTTGGATCGTTTGTTGGCTTCAGGGACAGCAGTATCTTCTTTCTCCAGGGGCGCTGATGCCTTCGCTTTCGACCTGGTATTTTTTGCAGGCGGCTCAAGCACAATACTCATGCTTTCGATCTTGTGGGCATCCTCAGGTCCGATCTCAGAATGTTGGCTCACAGGCTCATTAGCTGTGTGGACGGTATCGACAGGCGCTAACAGGTTATTGGATTCGTCTGCCTGAAATGCGGCGGCCTCTTCTATTGTTTCCATATGGACATCTGATTCTGATTGGCGGTCATCTTCAAAAGCAGCTATCTGCTCATGTTCCTGTCCGAATGATGCGTGCTCCATCGGAAATGCGTCTTGCAAGTAGTCATCAGTAGCCTCCAAGATTGATTCTGGCAGATCGCCGACAGGTGAAAACGGGTCCTCCGTGGGGCGTAGTACAACGTCAGGCTCCGGTTCCTGAGATTTAGTGTGAGTAATTGTTCGCTCCTCTGATGTATCAAGAGCATGTGCGTCCGCGGTCGCAAAATCCAGGTTTACAAACTCACTATGATTACCAAGATCCATGGCAGAGGGCTGGTCCTGAGAAGGAGACTGTCTTCGGCTAGAGCTAGGCTGCTGCTCTTCATGCCTGCTGTCGATCTCGCTGTTATCGTCTGAAGGGGAGCCTAAGTCGACGATAGCTGACGTAGCTGTGGAATGTTGTGTGCCTGTATCCAGTGCTTGGCCACGGATGTCTTCTAGGCTTCCGGTCACAGATTGCATGTCATCCGAGACATTGGAGCCTTCTTCAGGCTGTTGAGCAGTGTTAGGCTGCATCATAGATTCGACTGCCATGGATTCCGGCTCCATCTCACTCAAGGCTTCTTCTTCGTCCTCCGAGGAGAGTTCTACGACTTCTGGCTCGGCCGTTTCGTCTTCAACCATCTCTGGATTTGCGGTAGTCAAATCTTCAACGGCCTCATCTGTTTCATCGCTCTGGGGAGTGCTCAGGCGTGACTGAGATATACCTTCTGCTTCCGAATCGCCATCGTCGTGTTCGCGAGGGGCGGGCGAGGTTGAAACGTCGATGTTCTCAGCTTTCACCTCGAGTGGTTGAGCTTCTGGCGGAGGCGACGATAGCTCCATGGGGCGAGAATAGCCAGCACCGTCCATGCCGAATGTGAATCGTACAGGTGTGAAGGCCGACTCGTGGTTTGGGTGGAACACCGAAGCTCTCGATGAGCCTATTGAGCTGAAGAAGGACGTCTCGCCGATGTAGCTCGCTTCACTTGGTGGATCTTCTTCCTTGTCTCCCGTAGCATCGGCTTCGACCGACTGTTCGATAGTAGTAGCAACGCCAAAGTAAGACGCAGCATCAGCATCATGCTCTCCTGGAAACGGTGACGGCAATGGAAGATTGGAGGCGTCTTGTGGCGCAAGTGTTGGACTTTCAGGCTCTCGACCGATGGGCGTCATCAAGCCTGCGGCGACTGATGGGAAGGCGGGAGGAGGCATAGCAATCGTAAGCTCGTTGTTGGCGTGGTTGTCAGCCCCAGCGGCGGGCACAGGTTCGGTTTCCACATGTGATTCTACGACTTCTGAGGAGCTTGCTTCATGAGTCGAAGTTATCTTATCATTTCCTGTGACCGCCTCTATGTCAACCATTGGTTCTTGCAAGGGCCCGGCTGGTCGTTGAGGCGAAACGGGGGTGCGTGGAAGCCGCCCTGCACGGCTAGGCGACGCTTCAACAGAATCGAGCTCTTCGTTCATATCCACGTCCTCTTTCTCCGGCGACGGTGTCCTTGCGCTGTATGTCCACGCCTTCCAGTCCCCGTATGACTTCCTAGGTCGCTTTCGGTCATGGCCGTCTTCCGTCTCGTCCGCCAAGGGATCGTAGGGTGCTGGGAAGGAGGGTCCGTCGGATAAGCGCGCCCGCTTGAAGAAAGCAGGGGAGGAGAATTCGCGCGCAGGCGTCGGGGCTGCTGGGCGGACAGGCGATCCGGGCGCGGGCGTGGGCGCGGCATCGATGAGTTCGAGATTTGCTGTTTCGCTACCATTTCGATAGACGCGAATGACTACTGTCTGTGTATATGATAGCTCCCACTCAATGCTCTTGCCTGGTGTGCTGACGGCGCCTTCCTTAACAAACTCAGCGCCTCGTAGGCTCAAGACCACCTCATCGCCAATACCCACGCCTGCTGTCGCAATAGCTTTCGCGCTGGCGCCAGAAAAGCGCGCCCTGACTTGTCCGTTCTTGCGCCGTAGCCGGAGTTCGGGCTCAGCGAGCAGCAGGGCAAATTGTCGCGTCGACGACGAGTAGGGCCATATTAACGTGACGGTCGCTCGGAACTGCTTCGATTCGATCGCGGCCAGCTCTGGACTGAGCTCTGCGATATGTGCGTAATCCATGATGCGCAGCGAGAGCGCAGATGCGTGTTATGAAAGCGACATCGTGAGAAGGGCGATTTGTCTAGGTGCGGAAGTGGGTATTGCGCCCGTGGGTGGTGTTGACGTGTGAGCAGCGCACCTTCCGCGCAACATCCCTGCACGCTTCCATCCGCTTGCGGCCACCTCGGTTGTTCCTGCATCACAGCACCCCATTCAAGGAAAAAACCGAACACCTAAGAGCCTACATTAAGATAAAAGCTTGCGAAGTTAGTAGCCTAACAACAACGTAGGCTCCTAGGTGTTTGGTTTTTCCCTTGTATAAGGTGACAGCTTCTATCAAGCGCGTTTGATGTCGTCACTTTTGCTATCAATATAGCGCTTTTGGCTTGTTCGGTGCGCTTTCCATTAGGACAAATAAAAGCCGTCACTGGGATATCCATGAGACTGGCAGTATATGTGTGTGTGTTGTACAGGAGCGCGCTATGTTCAGAGTTCCAGGCCTATTACTACGGCAGATCCAAAACATCCTTCAAGACTTTCAACGCCCCAAACAAGTCATTATCGTGATACCTTCTTGCATTCACTTGCAAGTTGATCGGCGCTCCTTCGAAGTCTGAGCTCTCCCACAGCTCTTTGGTGTGTCTGCACTCATCGCTCAATGGCTTGTACCCTGCGGCATATGCTTCCTTGCCCTCTGCTTTGATGGGTGTAGGTACAACCACCCCGGGGTAGTCAACAAAGTTATACAGACTCGTATATGTCCAATAAAACGCTGTGTCATGCGCAGAGGCCGGGCCAACAAACGCAGGCCCAATGACGATGTCGACTTCCTGTTCATTCCAGCTGTCGGCAAATTCATACCGGTATTTGTCGCGGGTAGCACGAAGCTCATTAACCTCTTCAGCATGAAGCATACCGAGAGGCTCAACATCTTTCCAGTTCCAGTCGCTCAGTGGTAAAACTGGCTCGCCTGTGGACATCACATCTTCCTTCGCTAGTTTGCCACCGCCTGGCCAGTACATACGGCGGATCAGCTTCCAAGCTTCTTGTGCCTTGTAGGGCGTGAACGGCTTCACCTGAATGACCTCCGAGTACCGAGCATCCGAGAGACGTTCACGAGCCCATGTTATAGCGCGCTTGACTGGTGGCTGAGGGTCAATGAACCCGTCGTTTTCGATAATACCAACCCTCAAGAGCTTCTTGCTTTTGGTATTGAAGCCTGTCCAAGGAAGCGGAACCACCTTGGGATCCAGCAAGTACGGTTTCTGGTCCAGAACGGTCGTCATGAACAGATCCATGTCGCGCAAGCTCCGACAGAATGGACCAGTGCTACACAGGACGTTGAGCTCTGCCGAAAATGAATGAGCGAGGAAGTCCTTCATCGGTAGCATGTATGAAGTCGACTTGTATCCATAGACACCGCAAAATGCGGCAGGACCTCTTATACTGCCGCCGATATCTGTGCCTACGCCGAGCGCTGATCCTTTCATGGCTACTAGGGCAGCTTCGCCTCCAGATGAGCCTCCAGCACTAAGGTTGATGTTGAAGGGGTTCAGCGTGCGGCCATAGTGAGATGTCGACTCCAAGTGCATGATCGTTTGAGGCTGATTGGTTTTGCAATAGAATATTGCACCCATACTTCTCAACATCGACACCAGCAGGCAATCCTCCTCATTGAAGACAACGCTCGCTAACGATCCTTGTGATGAATAGGTTCCAGCGATGGGCATGTGCTCTTTGATGCTGATGGGAACACCGTGGAGAGGGCCAATCGTCTTGCCGTTCTTTAACATGTAATCGTCCAGCTCTTGCGCCCTTTTGACAGCCTCGTCCATGAACCATTGGGTCAAGCAGCATGTCAATTGATGTGTAATGATAGCGCGTTTCGAAAACGCAGTGGCTACTTCGACCGCTGATAGCTTCCGTGTAGCAATGGCTTCAGCAAGGCCTACTGCATCGTACTTTTCCGTGATGTCGATCTCAGCGGATGTGAGTATACCACAGGTGACTGGTATTCCCGAGACATCTTTGGGCGGACTGGCGAATAGTTCTGGCGACAAACGTAGTTCCGGAGGCACTTTTTGCGCGAATGCTTCAAGGATTGAGGCTCGCTTCTTCTCGTAATCTGCTGTACCTTGAGGCACAGGCTTGGGCTGAACTATAGCGAGCTCGGAAGGGTGATCGGTCATTCTGGTTTAGTTTAGGTGGTTGGAGGATGTGAGTAGCCTGTGTGCTCAAGCGTTCCAAGGTTGTCAATCATGTAAACCAGCATCGCGGTCTTATCTCTACATGTATCGTCATTGTCGAGGCTAGGCCCAGGACAAGATACCCTGGCATTCGTGGCGCTGAGAGACATCCCGTATGTAAACGTGGTGCCCGGAAAAGTTCCGTGCTGGTATATGACGGCCGATTATCGTATGGCGATAAAGCCGATAAGGCGCGTGGTTGGTGTTGAAGGAGCGGAATAGATGCCGACGAACGGCCCTTAGCGCGTCATCCCACATTGTCCCGCATCAGCTAGCGAGCAACTCCTTTCCATATCCAGCTCCAACAACTCCAACTTTCCGGTTATCTTCCAATAAACGCAGCGCCTCTACTGCCTATCAGGCGAACGTTTCCCCGCTTTGTGTCTGGTATCTCGACTCTTGGTCTCTTCGCATGGACCTGCTAAGTTGCGTAAGCCGGTAGATACACACGGAGATGGGCAGCCCAGCAAAGACATTTGGGTGGCTATCTCCATGGCTTGCTATCATATACCCTGAGGGCAAGGATTTGGAGACGATGGAATGTGATAACGAACATGCAGGCTCCACGACGAGCTCCAAACTGGAATGACGCAGCTTACACATGTTCTTGGGGTTGCACCTGCATGCCACCCCACTCTTGTTGTCTACTTTGGTACAACCGGTTCCAGGAGCTCAGCATTCAAGATATAACTGCATCAGCAGCTGAAGCCTACAGCTACCTAGTTAGCAGTCGACTATCACAATGACCGTTGGCGCAGACGCCGCCGATACGGCTCCCGTGCCGGGTACTGTGCACCTGGTGGATCTGGATCATAGCATTCAGGCTCGACATGCAGGCAATGGAGACATCATCCTCAACCCAGCGCCATCGAGTGATCCTGATGATCCGCTTAATTGGTCTCCGCGCCGCAAGCTCATCTCGACGATATGTACCAACCTGTACGTGCAACTACCGCGCACCACTCATGAGACTAATGAGTCGTGAAGATACACCTGGATGACGGGTATCGCCGTTTCGACAGTGTACTCCGTCTTAGTACCACTATCGGAAGCCTCGGGCGTATCTGTGTCAACGCTGAACGAGGGCACTGGATACATGTTCCTGTTCCTCGGTTGGGGTCTTCTCTTTTGGCAGCCCTTTGCACTACGATATGGCAAACGTCTCACTTTCCTCATATCTGTCGTCGGTGCCATTGGATGCAGTATCTGGAGGTGAGTGCAATTACATCTACAGTGAAATGCCCTTACACTAACATTCAAAGTGCATACGTCAAAAGCAACGGCGAGTGGATAGCTCGATGTATCGTCATGGGCTTCTTCGTCGCACCAGTGGAAGCTCTACCCGAAATCTCCGTGACCGATGTTTACTTCACCCATCAGCGTGGGAAATACATGGGGTTCTATGCGTTCTCATTGGCCGGTAGCAACTACTTTGCTCCCATCATCTCCGGCTTCATTGCGGAAGGGCAAGGGTGGCAGTGGGTCTTTTACTGGCCGGCAATCTTCTTGACTGTTTCGCTGATCTTCATGTTCCTATTCATGGAGGAGACCAACTATACAAGAAAGATTGAGGGGGTCGCCGTCACAGCTGAGTCTCCGCAGAGAGACCCATCCAAGGTAGTGGATCAAGAGAAGGCCGACACGACGACTTCGCAGTCAACTGCGAGCGATGATATGCGAGTATCAACAAAGACTTTTACGCAAAAGTTGTCAATCTGGCAACCATCGCCAGGGTCAAACGTCTTTGAGCGGGCAAAACGTAGTCTCATGTACCTGAGCTGGCCCGTCATCTTTTACGCAGGGTTCAGCTACGGTTCTTACCTCATCTGGTTCAACGTCTTGAACGCCACTGCCTCAATCATCCTCGGCGGCCCAGGGTACAACTTCAAGCCTTCCATGGTCGGTCTCAGCTACGTGTCTTGCTGCATTGGAGTGATTGCCGGAGCACTCTTCTCAGGACGATTCAGCGACTGGTTGACCATCAAACTAGCGCGCCGAAACAACGGCGTCATGGAGGCTGAACATCGATTATGGCCATTTGCAGTTTGTTTGGTGATGGTCCCGGCATTCTTGATACTCTGGGGTGTTGGTGCTGCACATGGCGTACACTGGTTCGGACTAGTCTTTGCTATGGGCTGCGTCGCTTTCACTTCATCAGTCGGCGTCACCATCAGCGTGAACTACATGATCGACAGCTACCACGACATAAGTGGCGATGCGATCGTGACGGTTATCTTGATTCGCAACACAATGTCGTTTGCAATCAGCTACGGGTGAGTTCCTCAAAGCTTTTACAGAATGACTTGCTAACGAAACGTAGCATTACGCCGTGGCTGACAGACTTGGGCTACCAGAACTGTTTCATATCCGCAGCCTTCGTTGGAATGGCAGCATCAGCAGTATTTCTCGTAATGATTAAGTATGGCAAGGGCATGCGCGTTAAAAGCAGTAACAAGTACTACAGTATCGTGGATGCTGATAAGGCGATGAACTAGAGCAGTGCACATGGAACTCGAAGTACAATTGTATGCGTAGCTGTCATGCTTTTTGATCACCAATATTACATTTAGACACGATTTCGGCTTTCAGATCCAGTTCATAACATCGTAACATTCGTTCAAGATACATAGTAAACTACAATACGAGCACCGCGAAAAGAGCCACACCGCTAAGCAAACCAGCCGTCCCATACGGTACGCTGATCTCTCCAGCTGCACCAGTGAAGGCCTGTGGTGTTCCCGTAGGCGTAGCAACAGCGTCCGACGCTACTGTTGC